CATTTAATAAAGCATTCAAATGTGTTTAATCTTGGACAATTCGTTAGAACACTATTAAACCGGTTCATGATATAATCAAGCGAACTTTCGCTGTAAATAAAGATGATAGTACGTAATAAATTAGGCAAACATTCATATACACCAATTAGTTCTTCAAGTCCCATCTTCACGCCACAATAATGTACCGATGATCTGTCGTAAGTTTCCAAGTACAAGTTTTCTAATGGCAAGGTACGGTTATTCAATGATCCTGAATTATTTGTACCAAAAGGAGCAGTGAAAAGTTATCAAATTCGGTAAGTTGTCAAGTAATGGATAGAACATCTGCTTATTACAGCATTCGATCCGGACATATTTCAAACTCGTCGACCACGTTTTTATTCCAGATATATAATAACCACTAGCAAATGGCAAGTGTACATATTTCAATGTCGGAAACTCATTGCCGAATATCATGCAAAAGAGCTCACGATATTGATCTGTTGCTGAATGTAAATAAATCGTTAAGTCCTTTAGATGCGGAAAATTCTTTGGTTGTACATGTACTAGTTGAGGCTCTTCATGAGTATATATATCATGTGTTGAATAAGACGATGAAAATTTTAGCTGACGTATATTAATACATTGGTCAAGTTTCAGATATTCATATTGACTTTTACATACACAGAATGATCGAATTCGCTTAGGATTAATGTATGGAAGAATAAATCGTTGTTGGTCTTCGGTTAAAACTGAACCGAAACCAACGTAAAACTCACCGATAATACGATTGAGACGTGAATTTAGATTGTAAAATCCACGAAATAAATCTAATCGGGGTAGATATCGAAATATCCGAAGAAATATTTCATCTGGAAAAAAAGTATCCATCCCCGGTGAAGGAAAACAGTTCGTGCACGGCCTCAAACGTCGTATCAACGAGGTAAAACGTTGAAAAACGGCGCCGTATTCCGTCATACCAGATTGACGTGTCGAAACTGGCGATTGACGACGGTCGTTTTCTAATTGAAAAAACGACCCTCAAAACGAGCTGACGGATTCAGGCGAAATACGGTGACAAATTATGTCTTAATGCACCGTTTTATAGCCGTTTTAGACCCTATAGGATGCCGTTGCAGACTGTCGGAACGATTCTCCTGGGATGTGGGATTTGCAGTTGAAAATATTTGATCAAGAACGCTAATCTAAAATTGAAGAGAGAAAAGTAATATGTGATGCTGAAGTCACTCTTAGTTGGTCGCAAGTAGCATTCTGATAAAAAATTTGTTTCTCTCGGTCGCATATCAGTTAGAAATATCACTATTTAACTATTTCATGAAAAAAAATATGAGAAGCACTGTTACATTTATAAAATGAAGATAAAGCGAAAATAAAGACTGAATAAAGTTTTCGGTCACGACTTGACACAAAGTGTTGATAAGACAAAGATGCATACAATACTTCTATATTTAATGTTTTCGTTCTTCACTAGCAGTATATCTTGCTATAGAGAAACCTATAAAAGTCAAGTACTTCTAAGTAAATGCATCCATCATTCTATGCTGAATCTAAAATATGTGGATGTAGTGGCCTTACTGTGCTGATGAAAATCATCGGGGTTTTAGATAAATAATCAAATTCTTTCGAACTTCTAAGTTCTACTATTCTTCACATTCTTGAAGATAATTTACTAAGCAGAGTTTGAAAAAAATCTATCACGATCTTATTATTTCATTCAATTGACTTTATATCATAAATAGACTGTATTTTTCAGGTTTTACGTAACAATGATGTAAATTATAGTACTGTTGAGAAATAGTTACGAATCAAGTAAATACTTAACATGAGATTAATAAAATAACAAATAATGACATAGACGAAAAACCTAAAACAGCAGTACAATGATCATTCTAATATATCATCATACATTTCTCAAGCTTGATCATCGATAAGTTGACTCATAACTGGGCAAACTATAGTGTATACGTATGTATGGGTGTAGGTGTGAGTGTCGGTGAGGGTGTGGTGTGGGTGTGGGTGTAGTGTGAGCGTGGGTGTGGGTGTGGTTGTGGGTGTCGGTGTCGGTGTGGGTGTGGGTGTAGGTGTGGAGCAGAGCTGCCGGCCTGTCCTGCAGCCTGGCAGGTATCAGGCCAGGATAGCAGGCCACGCCGGATTTTCAAATTTCGGCCTGGCCTGATCAGGCTAAATACTTCTTGGCCTGGCATGTAGAAAGGTCAGGCTAAACTTGGTTGCCTGGGTCATTTTATTTATATTATTTTTCCTTATCAATTTTAGCGAGATAAATACATTTAATTCAAGCAGCTAGTTCTGGTATAGAATGACAGTTTATTATTCTAGTTATAAGAGTAAAAGAAGATGATACATGGTGGATTCGAACATCGAATCCAAATGTATTGAGAACTCGACGGAGACTCTGAAGGCAGACTAGAACACTGAGATAGACTTACGTCAGTTTATATAGTCCAAGTCACATATTGACTCCTGTTCATCTACTATACGGCCAGAGACCATTCGCTATCATATGGCTTTCACTAGTCTGAAATGTCCAAAGTAGTAGTCAGGACAAGTCCGAAGCATCGTCTACACTGGTCATGGTTAGTTCTTTTTTAAACACTGTGTCACTTATCCTAATCCAAATTTGTCTGAGAAACTCTAAGCAACCCGCTTTCTTTTTACTTAATATATCTTCTTAATTCGTTTAAATTGATCACTAAAGAAGAGTAAAGGAAGTGTAGGGCACCTAAAAAAATCTCAATATGTGTTTCGTTTATCAAATAATCGATTGATAATCAAATGCTTTTAGCAGATTTATTAGATAGGAGAGAGTAACAATCTTTTTATTTCCTCTCTTGTTCTCAAATCTTCGTAAATTGATAACTAAACACAAACTCTTTTGTTATGAATAAGGAAATTAATAACACGCATTATAATTTTGTTTTAAAATAATGTCGATTATCACTAGTATCATCAATTTTTCTCTTTCTAGACCGACATTCAGAATCTGTCATAATCAATATTGAGAGTAAAAACAAATGTTATACTTAATATATTCCTATCCTAATATATTTAATTGTTTTGTATTTTTATATTTTGAGAATGTAAGAGTATATCGAAACAAAAGAAAGTAAGAATAGGTAGAGAGAGCTATATTTATTTCGTAGCGAGGAATGCTAATTCATGTTGTTTAAAATTCTCAGGTGTTAAAAACTTCAAAATATCTTCAAAATAATTTAATTATTTTTATATTGTATTATTTTAAATATATATTCTAATAATTTTAACTTAAAGAATATAAATCTAAATCAATAAAAGCTAATTTAATTGTTAATTGAAGATAGGCGGTAATTTAGATTTCACAGTAGAATAAATGATAGTATGAAAAAATTTAGTTTCCTTTCACTATAGCTAGCTTTTTATTCTTGCATTTAAAATTAATTCTTTGTACACAACTATAGGTAATTATTTCTAGGTGATAATAATCAAAAGATATTCTTTCAAACAATATTAAGTCTTTCTTTAAATTGACTTTGTTTAATGTTGTCTGAACGATCTCGTGTTTTGTGAAAGATAATTTTTTATTCATGCATAAATATAAAAAAAAGAATTTTAGTAAAATTGTATTAAATAGCATCTTAGAATGATTATGAAATGCAGAAGTTGATCTTTTGATCATATGGCTTAGTGGTCTAAGCGATATATAAGTAATACATTCTATACATATTTGAAACTAATTTTTATCCTTTTATATTTCTACTTAGACCACTCTGGACTTCTCTCCTAAGTAGGATTACAACTCGTCCTATAGTCTTCTTCACATCATTACTTTTCCAAGTTTAAATCATTTTCGGAGGGACATCCCTGCCATTTGTCATGATTAGTCTTTCTTTCAAAAAGTCTTCGTGCAGGACTAGTCTGCATATTAGATAATAACCTTCTGTACCAACCGACTTCAGCCCATTCCTGTACGATTCTTTTTCAAAAAAAGACAAGAATAGATACGTATAATGTCGTCCGTCAATAATTTAGTTTAGAAAGGGCTTCATGACGCCCAAAACTCCTAGACTAGTCACGTCCTAGTCAAAGTTGAAACAAAGACTAAGAAGGCGGATCGGCATGGCTAGAAAAATGACGAATCATTAAGTTCATCTTGTGTATACTTGGGTTGGCAAACTGTCAATTTACTGATCGGAAAAATCAAAAACACTATTCGGCCTGCCGGCAGGCCTACGCCCACCCACACCCACACTGGCACCCCGTATCCACACCCACACCCTTATTCGATTTCTACAGTGACAAAAAAGAATTTACGGTGAGAAACGATTATTGACTGAAGTGTAAAAATTGGTTGTAAAATTAATTGTTTTGTTAATGGAAAATACTTTATATTATTTTGATTGAAAAACTAAAGCAAAAAAACTATCATGCGCATCAATTTCTAATTATCATTCAATTTCTTCATCTATATCTGCATCATCAGACATCATTCGATTTGATTCCTGGATTAAAATAAAATATTTAGAATTTCTTATAAAACTTTTTAACATTGGAGTAGATGTGTCCTTTTGCAACATCAACACAGACATAAATCACTAATAACCTTCTTTTTTTTTACAAAATATAAACTTCGCTTTCTCTAAACTTGTTATGACTGTGAATATGTACGTAGCTGTTTTTTTTTCCGTCTGTTCCTGAACCCAAGCACCATACTAACATCCATACCCTGAACGAGTTCATAGTAGAAATAATCGAATTTGATGACAGCTTAACCTACGTCAAACAATAAGTTATTATGTCTATTTCGTGAACTAAATTTATAATTTAAATATCTTGTTTAAAAATAACGCCAATATGTTATACGAGAAAAGATAATGTAGTTGATTAATCTGTATTGTATTATTTATTTTCTATATCTAATTATATAGATTTATATGATCTATTCCGCAAACTACAAAATAAATGTCTTTAAATAGGAGAAGGAAAAGTTTCAATTAAATAATGCTTTAAGTATATCGTCGAAATCCTGTTCTGTATGTCCATCCATCACGTCTAGTATCAGTGAATACGCCTGATGATGTAAAAGTTCTACGTATTACTCCGTCTGACCAATTATAATCAATAGTATTTCCGCGTGTACTTGTATACATTGAAGATGATGGCATCGGAGGTGACTAGAATAAAAAGTTTATAGAATTTTTTTTCTGAAAACTCTTCTTATTGAAAGAAATTTACTATATCTTCGGTAACACCCACGCGGCGAGCTTCTTGAAGAAGTACTGTTGGACTTAAAAGTGTTGACCTATAACGAGCTATATAAGTATCAGGATTTTCTTGAGTAATACCAAGATCTTCAAATCGTCGAATTATACGTGTACGAACATTTTCATAAACAATAATTTTATGAAATGGTCGTGGAAATTCAATAGGAGCAGGAGCAGATTCTACAATTGTACGACGTTCAGGTGGAGGTCCATAGGGAATCCATCGCTCAATTATAATATCACCTAAATAGCATAAAAACAATAGAGCAGAATTTTCAAAAAAAAAAAGAAGAATAAAGCTAAGTTTCTCACGTGGTTTTCCCGGAGGAGGTGGAAAACGTTCGATAATAACTGATCGTGGTGGAACAGGCATAGCAGGTAATTCTTTAATAACTGTAAAATAAAATAAATATTAATTTATTGAATCAATTTCATATGAATCTCGTTTTCTTTTTACTTGTTTCACTTTGAATAACTGGTGGTGGTGTTGGTGGTCGTTCCCGTAAGATAAGTGGAGGTGGTGTAGGAGGACGTAGTGCATGTTCGCATATGATCAATGGGGGAGGTGGTGATGATTGTCGTGGACGCACTTCTTTAATAATCAATGGCTAAAATGATGTACAAAATTTGAAAAGATTGAGTTTGTAAATAATTTATTCTATTACTCCTGGTTCTGGAGCAGGTGGTGGTTGAAGATATCGAACAGTAATTCGTTGTTCCAACATTATTGGACTTTTACTTGTTGTTCGTCGAATAATTTGAGGACTAGAATCAATAAAAAGATCACTAGATGATCTTCTAAGATATGTATTTGTTTCTTCTAAACTATTTGTATGAATTGCCGTATCATTAGCCCATTCGCGACCTGTTATTGTTGTTCCATATGAAATATATCGATCAGTCGTAGGTTCTAAACCATCGTAATAACTACCACCATCGTTATATCGATCGAGTCGACTAGTTGTTGTTTCATATTCAGTTCTATGAATACTGAATATATATACATATATTTATTTATCATGTGATTCAAATTCTGAATTCATACTTTCCATCTTGCTTCGTATCATTGTGTCGAAATAAATTGTCAGTTTCATTGGTAGTTTTCATTATTTGCAATTGACAAAGTAGAAATTATTTCTTAAACTAGAAGAAAACTAATGATCATTAATTCATAAATCTAAGATAAAAGTATTAAATGTTTAATCAAGTATCAGAAATACTCCTATTGATATTCTTCTCAATTGGCTGATAAAACAAAGAAAAATCGGATAAATTGTTATTCTTTAGTTGTTATGATAAGCAGTTCATGAAGGTTAGAAAATAATCATGAGAATATTGTAAGAAGAAATAAGAGCGAGTTAGAAAAACTATTGAAGAAAAAATAGTCGACCACTTTTACGTTCCTTTTCTTATTTTCTATATACAGCTAACCTGTGCGGTTTGTATGCCGTCTCACAGATGAAGAAATGGATGTAAAAAAATAGTTTGTCAACATAATGCGTTTGGAGCTGGAATGTAGAATTCATTGACGTGTTTTTTTACTTATCAAATATTTAAGTTTTAACTGCAGCGATAAGAAAAACTACGGAAAATAACAAAAATTACTTTTGTAATTTTTCTGCAAAAGTAAATTCTGTCATTTTCTGTAGTCTTTTTTTACACATTGTCAATAACATATCTTATCACCGCTGTTAAAAGTTAAATATTTTATATGATAAAGTCGTTCAATATACTTATGTGAAGTTTTTCTACTTCATTGTTGTGAGTAGTTCATTATTTTTCTTTTTCTTAATTTAACTGAGGACGTTGATTACGACCGCAGTAACCGCTAGAGAACGACATGCATACTATCGTTCCCCGCAGTTTACGGTCGTGCACTACTAGAGAATGGAACAGTCGATCGTTCATACTCATTTACACCACGATAGACTACGGCCGTAATACTGTCGCTATCAAACGGTGTAAATACGATAAAAAAAAGTAGTCGTTTACGACAGGGCTTGTTTTATTTGGGAATGTTGTCGTTATTATTATAAGCATAAAATTAAATAGTACGTAAGACTGTCACGCATTAATTATCGACTCAAAATAAACCGCATTCCTACTGACGTCCTCTTCAATACAGCGGCTAGAAAAAGCGTTAGAATTCTACTACAATTCTTTATTAGCATGACTTAAAAAGGCTTTTGCAATATAAATTTGAGAGCACATTATTGTGTTTAGTATTATATCTTAATTATATATTTTCTTCAATTTCTACAAGATAATAAACGAAGTAGTATACTCTAATTTATCCGAACTAAAAAATTTATATTGGTCACGTACTGTTCAATTGACTTTAACTGTTCGATTCCCATTTGAAATGATTTTTATTCTTCAAAACAGTGCCATACCATTTCTCGAACATTTGTATATAACCATTGAAGGGTGTGGATGTGGGTTAAAGGGATTCCTAAACTTGCACCCACACATCTACACCCATCGACACCTACACCCACACCCCACACCGACCCACACCCTGTAAATAGTATCCTGATCTATAATATCAGGTTTTGGTGTGGGTGTGTGTGTGGGTGTCGGTGGGTGTGGGTACGGATACGGGTGTAGGTGTGTGAGTGTGGGTGTGGGTAAAACGAATTGCTAAACTTGCACCCACATTCACACACCCACACCCTTATATCAATACCATCGAATATTTTTTTGTTGTTTTCCACCTATATCGATATAGATGGAAAAAACAGCAGAGCGAATGTAAAATTACGTCATCGTATAGTAAAAATACCTTAGTTCGCTAGTTGTATACAGTCTATGTGTACATTATATGAAGAACGAAGAAACATTCGATGGTATTGGTATAAGTCACTATTAAATAGTGTTAATGTAATTGCGCAATGTCAGTAACATTCAAGGTAAAATTAGTACATGGAGAGTTTTCCGTAGTCTTTCTTTACAGAATGTCAATTACATATCTTATCGCTGCTGTTAAAATATAAATCTTTTTTAAGATAAAGTCGTTCAATATACTTGGGCGATATAAATATAACTTTTCTTGATTCAGAAAGGTAAAAGTATTTGCATTCCCAATAGATCTCTCGTTACTTATATCAGAAAATTTTTGCAGTTTTGCTCANAAAATTTCAAATTTTTCCATTTTTTTCAAATTTATCGATTTTGTAAGTCATATATCTCGAAGGCAGAGCAATGAATCAAAATATTTTTTTTACCAATCGGTAGCTTGTGAAGTTCCCTACAAATAATGTCTTGAGAGTTTTTCAGTCTCATGCTTTCTTTATTTTCTGCGATCATGTCTACAAATGGGTCATATATGACCCATTGGGGGGTAAAGGGTTAACTAAGCGAACACTTGCTGAAGCATTTGATAATAATGAATTATATTATTTTTTCAATCAAGCTGAATGTATCACTTTTCTGAAAGATCGTCAGGATACGGCTAAAGTTATATGTCTTGTTTATCTCTGGTCAAAGCTCCAATGAATTAATTCATCAAATTGACGAGCCAACATTGAAATCGATTGGATCAATATTCATATTTTATTTACATAACAAGTAACGCTCATTGAGAGTCGATTCGCTTGGCCCTAGACTGAGGTACTGACGTAGAAACAGAAGTTCACATGTGCCCGACTGTCACGGTAATGTAATAGCCACATTGGTAACTACGGTCCAAATGACCACAGATAAAGTTTGAAGAATCACAGATGTGCCTCAAAACATCAAACATTTGCGAAAATTCCCATGAATATAGCACAAATGGTCACACGAATGAAATGATACATAGGATGACAAATGTGGTCAGCATGATAATATCTGTAGTGTTGTCGACCTCGTGTGAAATCGTTCAGAGCACATCTTGTGCTGGAAGGACCATTATTATGACTATTTGGAGCACAGTTTTACGCATTTTAATCATATTATCATAATGTCACTAGTCGAGTGTGTCGCATTTGTGATCATTTAAAGTGTCTTTGTGCTCATTTGAGATTATAATTTTTGTCACTTGGGCCATTATTACGATCCTTTCTCTGATATTTATCCTAACTTAGACCGAATTCATGACCATTTTTAATATTGGACAACTGGTGCCATCTCTATGGTCACTGACCATAGAGACGGCACGAGTGGACAAAAACATGATGTAAATCTCCAATAATGTAGTCCAGGTGACTAAAGCAGTGGTCCAAAAGCCATACATCTGATTAATTATATTACTTATATTGTGACTAGTACCATTGTAATGGTCATTTGTGCCATGTCTATGGTCGTTTGTACCATTGATATAGGGTGTGGGTGTGGGTGTGCCTTTGTCTATTGCCTATTGGAGCCACAGTCACCCAGACCCAAATCCACACCCATCCACCCACACCCTGCGCATCAATAATTTGACCAGCATGCAAATGATACGAAGCATATGTTCTTTGTTTGTTAGAAAGTTCTTTGAGAGGATGCGAATAAAATAGATTGAGTCGATAAGGAAGAATGTTTAATTGATGCGCAATATCTTTGATTACTTGTTTCAACGGTATTTGATGGCAAAAACCGATTTGTCCTCATTGAATCAATCGTGGCTAGCAACTTTAAAAATAAATATGAACTCTCAATTTATATCGCACATCTATTGTCAACAAGGCTATTGTCGTCCACGTTGGTAGACATTTTACATTTTTTAGCTTGACCAGCATAGCCAGTTGCTTTTTCAACTTATTTTTTCATGTATAAAATAGTCAAAGACTTACTAAAAAAGTAAGCTTGAGTTTTTCTATTTGGAAGTTCGACGGCTATGAGAGCGTCATTGCTCGTCGTATTGATAATGTATATGTCAAAGTCTCTTATCAAATCCGATCTGTTATTATCCATTTGAAATTTACCATTCATAAATATTAGCTGCCTCTGTCGTGAAATATTTCATTTTTTCTCAACAAGTACTTGGATGTCTTCAATGAAGTGATGATCAGTGATTTGAAGAGTTTTGTCATTAGATTGTATATTTTCAGTTTCGCTATTCTTTACTACTCGGAATGTTTTGGTTTGTTCAGTGATAGTTTTTGTAAAAATTTGTGTGCCAAGAACGAGATCTAGCGTCGACTCTTTTTCGGAATTATAATTCGATAAAGTTCAACCATCTTCAAGTTGTCGACCACCAAAGACTATTCGTTGTGTATCCGAAGGAATCCCTTCTTTGTCTTGAATTTTTGCCTTCACATTTTCGATGATATTGCACCGTTCCACTTTCAACGTTAGTTTCGTCTCACAAAGAGTTTTGACAAAGAAGTGCTGGCCCAAATAAGGTGCGATGTGTATGATCGAGCTATTTCCAATCTTGTAACCTAATAAAATTTTGCCATCTTCAAATAGTTTGTCATAAAAAAAAAATATTATTCATCAGGCAGAATTCCATCACAGTTATGGATATTTTTTTTTCACATATTCAATGATGTGAGATAAGTTTGTGTCTAACTCAAATGTTTTACCAGATAGAATTTTTACAAGAATGGAAATATCTGCTTTATCATTTGGAATATATAGAATGCTATTTGTGCAAATTGGATAATCGAATAACGTACGATTATCATCAAGAATTTGATCTGTATAAATTACTGTATGACACCTACCAATTTACTAAGAAATTCTCGATTTTAGCTGTCTGATCGTCATTCTTGATGGAACTTCTAATGGAAACTTGGTATTTCCAAGTTGGAAATACCACTTTACTTGACAATTATTTGTCTATATTGTTGCTCTATGTGCTAATCGAATATTGGAACAATGGTCGAAAAGAGTTTGAGCGGATTTCTGGGCACCGATGACTTAGACACACTCGATGGTGTTAGACCCAGCAAAGAAGAAAACGCTGCTTCAACTAGGCTGTTATTCGATGTGACTGTCATAGTTATCACGATGCTAATATACTGACAACAAAAACGAACGTAGTAATATCGATGACGGTGCTTCCTGTTATGTTTATTTTCTGGCTGTCAGTTGTTCAATATTGCTTGGAATATACTAAAACTGAGTATATAGCACGAGATTAGAGAAGACCATTTAAGGAACTGCAGTCAAACCTAAATAAGTCATACTTTTTTACCGAG